CGTACTCCGAAGCATGCGGTCGCTGGATTGGGACACAGCCTGAGAGCTCCTCCATCCCGGATTATTGCGTGACACTTCCCTTCCGTCCTCCAGCTTGCTACAGTGAAGGTAATTGTACCAACGGCTGCCTCTGTTATTTCCCGGCAGGAGTACGGAAGAAGACACGGCACGGGAGTAAGGAGCGCGCACGGAGATTTATTGCTTAATGTTTACATCACTGTAAATAAACACAACTGCATTCATCGCACACAGTCTTGAGTTTTGGGTCCTATTTTCCCCGCATCGCCACGGTCTGCCCGCGCAACCGTGACAGATAACAAAGTCCTGCAGATGTAAAACTTTAAAAAGAAAAAGATCACAGCAGCTGAGGACATGTCGCTGATGTATCGCGATTGTTTAACATCATTTAAAAGTAGGAATTTCAAAAATATCAACAAAGGGAAATTTCACACAGAAAAAGGGTTAAAAAATAAAAAAGAAGAAGATATAAATCAACAACTTTGAAATAACCATGGTGGCTTTTGGAGTACACATTGCTGAGTTTACAAGGTGCACCTAAAGGTAGCAAGGATTTCCTACCGTCGTACGCCGTTCAAACGTACACAGCCATGTAGAGCCAGGGGGATTCTTATTAAAAGGTACCGCTGCCCGGGGTGGACTTTTCCAGAAATGACAGCGTGTCTGATCCCACTCCGACAGGCTGTCCACTCCAGGTGTGGACTGCCAGTCCAGCAGTTTATCTTCTAACCTATATCTCTCTCCAGAGACCTTTGCATTCTTAAGCTCTTAAGCGCTGCTCCGGATCAAAGCGTTACGCTCTGTTGCGTCACTCGGTTACATCACAGTGATCGAACGCTGCCTTTAATCCAAAAGGCATAAATACCCGGATACACCCGCCTACTGACAGAACCTGCCAGCGTCACATTGCGGTCATAATCACATTTTTTTGCCCAGGTGTAAAACTTTAGATATATTTTTGAAATAATGGTTTCGGTTTCGGGTTCGTCTTCGTCGTCTTATGACAGTGATGAGGGTTTACAAACGAACGCCCTCATTGAAAGTAAAACATGTAAATACATGGTATATAAGCTCCTCGGAGAAGGAACTTTTGGGAGAGTGGTGGAGTGTGTACAATTAAACACTTTTGAAAGGGTAGCAGTCAAGGCAGCTAGAAGGGAATACAACAAGTTTGCTTGGAAAGAGGCTGCTGCTGTAAAAGAACTGAGTGTTCTGGATAGGGATCGGTGCAATTTGGTCAAGTACTACGAAATTTTCAAGTACAAACGTCGCGCCTTCATTTCAATGGAAATGCTAGACATTAGTCTGCATGACTTCGTGACTCAAAGGTCTCACAGTCCACTGGATGTCTATGATATCCGGGTCATTTTAAAGCAGATGTTTGTGGCTCTTACCGCTCTGAAGAGCAGAGGTATGATGCATGCAGACATCAAACCTGATAATATCATGCTTGTAAATCAGTCTCAACAGCCATATAGAGTTAAACTTATTGATTTTGGTTTTGCCACAAGTCCTGCAAAAATTCCATGTGGCGCTGTTATTCAGGCCCTTGGTTACCGGGCCCCTGAGGTCATGTTGGGCATACCTGTGACTGAATCGGCAGACATATGGGCTCTCGGTTGTGTCGCAGCTTTTCTATACTTGGGCTACCACCTGTTTTTCAACATGAATGAATATGAAATGATGCAACATTTTGTTCACATGTTTGGTCAGCCTAATAAAAGCATGTTACAGGAAGGGAAGCACAGTAAGAAATATTTCTGGATGAGGAAAGGGATAATGAAACACACATGGGTACTGAAGACACCAGTTCAGTATTCAGTATCTACAGGCATTTTGATCAAACAAAATAAAACAATCACAGACAGATTTGCGTGCGTGGATGATTTAACCAAACACCA